TTTATACTTACCAATGATGTTTGATCCTCAAAAGGCCTGGTAATATTTTTCCTGAGAGGAGGGGAACAAAAAGAGTTAGAAGAAAATAAAAGAAGAGAACAGGCTCAGATAGCCACTTGCACTTAGTTCTCCAATAACAATAAAGCTCTGCATTCTATTGGAAATTCTGGCAGTAGAGGCTCAGTTGGAGTTCAAACCACAAGCCATATTAATACTGCAAGGAATGTCACAGTGCTGCCATTGCCATTCTAAGTACTTTCCTCCACACTTCCTGTCTTCTGGGGTCTGACTTCCAGTGACACTGACCACCAGTGACACTCCATGAAAAGTTGCCTTTGCCTGTTCATTCAACACTAAATTTAGCAATTACAATTGTCTCTGCACTACAGTCATGCAGATACTGGGTTCCCATTTTAAGCAAGGCTTATAGCTGAATCTTGCTCCATACCACCTGCCACAGAACAGGGCTCAGTATCAATGCTGATCATGTGTGGCCTGTTTCCAGTCTATTAAAAATTATGATCAATCTCAGCCAACTCAGGTGACCCTTGTCATTGTTCGAGCCTCCACACTGGCCAGCATTTTTATTCACGCTCTGAAATTACCAAAAGCTGTCTGTCTGTCAGAAAACTCAAAGGTGTCAAAGTGAGATCACTTACTTCTTATACAGTACCGCAAAAGGCTTCTTCACAGCATACTGCAAAACACAAAGTTAAACACGTGTCATCTCTAAAACATGCCCAGCACTGTTTTTGCTATAACCCTACAACTTACATGATCACATGAAACAGTAACTGTTTGTGCAGATCAGTCTAGAAGGCACCTCAAAAAGCCTGCTGACAATAACACCCTTCAAGTTGGTGACAATCTTGGTTTCAAATTAATTGAAGGAGTTATTTGTAGAAACTGAGAAGCAGTTGAAATCAAGTCATGTAAAGGAATCCCTCTGCTTCTAGGGGTATGAGGAAAAACAGGAGCGTAAGACAGTAAGAAAGCAACAAAGCAATGTAAGAAAAGAGTATAGGAACAGCTATAATATTTTTCAGCTATGGACTTAGGAGACAGGACTGGTAATTTAAAGTTTTAGGAGAGGTTGAAAGCTCCATATAAATACATAGAAGCAGTTTACAGGATTCTGGGATATGACTTAGCTGTGTGATACAGTCACAGTTCTGTACCTAATCCTCTTGTTTTCAAAGGGACTTGGCAAAACTTTATGTACTGGACAATTGTGGAAAAAATAAGAGAGCAAGCTCAAAATTTCTGGCAAAGAAGAATTTGGAAGAAAATAATCTCCATCAATAAGTAGGTAATGACACCTTTGGAGTACTGGTCAATCTGAGATTTGGGGTACAGGGAGAGTATGAAAATACTGACAGTCCAGCAGAGAAGATGCAAATTGTAGGAGAGAGAAAGGAAGGTTGCACACTATGTCCAACTTACGATATCTTTAAGCACTGCAGTCACTGTCAAGTTTGCATTTCCCCCTCTTATGAGCATAGCATTTTTTGTATTTTCATTAAGCTTGGGTTCTCTCTTCTCAAGAAATCTTTTTGCTCTCTTAGTTTTAGGCTTTCTGTAACAATAAATTAATAGTTAAAAACTTAATATTAGTAACAACACCTGACACCACAGAAAACAGTGAAACCAAACTAGAAGTGGAACAAGTTGTATTCAAGTAACTTGTTTCAATGACTCAAACTAATCCCAACCAGCAGAAATACAATCAGTGCCAAAAACCCAGTCTCAGATGAAGGTGTTTTACTGCCGCTCCTCTTCCTCTCTGTCCGCCCCAGGTACCAAAAGTGATTTTACAGTCTTGTGCTTTTCAGTTTCTGCTAATTCAGAGGTTAAGATATACCAGGATTCCCAGCCTACTGACAGGCTGAAAGCTTCCCCTCACACCAGCTCCCTCCCCAGGCCAGAGACTCGCTCCTGGGAAGAGTATGGCACATCTGTTGGCATGAACCAGAGAGCAGGCATTATTCAGGTGAAATGCATCAGCCTTCGCAGGGGCACACAGCTTATATAAATCAGTAACTACACGGCTTCAGAAATACATTTCTCCACCAGATTATCTTTTCTGCGAATCATTATTTTAATTTCTTTTTGAAAACAAACAAAACCCCCAAACACACAGGTATCACAGGACCACATAATAATCAGGGTTGGAAGGGACCTCTGGAGATCATCTAATCCAACCCTTCCGCCAAGGCAGAGTCACCTGGAGCAGGTGACACAGGAACTCATCCACGGAGGTTCTGGTTGTCTCCAGAGAGGGAGACTCCATGATCTCCCTGGGCAGCCTGTTCCAGTGCTCTGTCCCCCTCAGTGTAAAGAAGTTCTTCCTCATGTTGAGGTGAAACTTCCTGTGTTTTAGTTTATGGACACTGCTCCTCGTCCTGTCGCTGGCACTACTGAAACTTCCAGCAGAGACGAAGACAGTTCTCTCATGTGTACAGAAACACACAGATTCAATACCAGCTGGGCACCACGGCTTCTTTAAGCCACCAACTGAGTAAGGGCTGACTGGCCATCACCAAAGAGACGGTAGCGCTCGGTTTTCCCCCTTCCCGCATGTTTTGCAGAGGGCTTTTCTCTCTGCCGGCTTCCCCCGCAACCCTCCCCGTAGCCACGCAGGCGCCCGCTGTCGCTTCCCAGAGCGGCAGCACAGCTCGGAGGAGATCCCAGGCATACTCACACGACCCGATCCAGCGGATCCATCGCCGCCGGCCCGCGTGCGGGAGGAAGCGCGGGCACCGCCGTCCGGCGCGTCACGTTACGTCACGTCCGCCGGGAGCGGGAGCGCGCCGGGACGTGCAGTGCGCGTGCGCGGCGCCCGGCTGAACCCGGCCGGGCGGATACTCGTCCCACATGGAAAAGGGCTTGGAGCGGGAGCCGTACGGGGAGCGGCTGAGGTCACTCGGTCTGTTCAGCCTGGAGGAGAATGAGGGGAGACCTCGTTGCAGCTTCCACACTCTGTGGTGACCAGTGACGGCACCCGAGGGAATGGCCTGAAGCTGCGTCAGGAGAGGCTTCGGTTGGGTATTTAGGGAAAGGTTCTTCACCCAGAGGGTGGCTGGGCGCTGGAAGAGGCTCCCCAGGGAAGTGGTCACAGCACCAAGTCTGACGGAGTTCAAGAAGCGTTTGGATGATGCTCTCAGACACATGGCGTGACTCTTGGGAATGGTCCTGTGCGGGGCTGGGAGTTGGACTTGGATGATCCCTGTGGGTCCCTTCCAACTCAGCATATTCTGTGATTCTGTCCCCCTTGCCTACCAATTTTGAACTGCATTTCAAATAAGCAACTTGCTGGGCCTTTTTTCTTTATAAAATTGGTAAAGAATTTGCTGTCAGCAGCAGTGGACTGATAGCACCAGCTTTCTCAGAAGATGGGGAGAAAAACAAGGGTAAAGAGTTAGAGTTAATAGAAACAAAAGCTTGAGCATTATGAATAGCATTTAAAATATATTAAAGTATATTAAAAATAATTAGGTTCTCATAGTTTATGATACACATAAAATGTTTTTAAAAAATAACACTGATTCCAAGAGGAAGTAGAGCAAAGAAAGAGCTCCAATATACCACTGAAAGAAAAGGCTGAAAAAGACCACAAACCAATTCTGCTAGAATATTCCTTGTACATAAGGAAAAAAGCTCACACATACATAGTGACAGACTTGGCAATTGGTTAACAAAACATAAGAGGGAGTTACATTCTGACAGAGAACAAACTCTTGGAAGCACCTCTCTGTTCTCAACAGCTGAAGGGGCCATGGCAAGCATGCTGGACCTACCACCCACCCACCTCCTCTGCAGCAGCTTCAGCTGTCAGCAAGAGCAGCCCAGCCCTGCAAATGCGCCCCCCAGCAGACGAGAGCACATGTTTTATCACTTCATAACATTCCCAAGATCGTTATTCCAGTAATAATTATTCTCTATCAGCACCACAGAAATCAAGTCTGAATGACACTTTTAAACTTCCATGGCTGCAGTTAAATCCAGAGGGACAGCTGAGTGGTATCCCTGAAACCTCAGGTGCAAACACTACCATGTGTAAGATCCACACCCAGGCTGGAGGGGTACAGAACATGTTCCCTCTTCCTCTTCCTGCCTCCCTTTTCCCCTATGATTCAAATGGCTTCTACATAGAAAAAACATAGTAGCGGGATTGATGGTTTGCACCTGGTGTGGTTTTGATGACTTCTCTTTACTGATCCCGTGCTGTGAACAACGCTGGGAGTGAACCTCTCTGATCATTACTAATTAAACTGTTCCATAATTATTCTGGAATTAGTTAGGTGTTCCCATCCTCACTATTGCAGTTACACTGTTTTGAGGGAGGCAAACAAAGGAAGATAAGAGTGCTCAGGAAGAGAATGTTTTCTGTTTTAAAAAAATATTGTGCTTTTAAAAACATTATTCTGACTGCACCACACACTCAACTGTGATATAAAACTCTGAGTGACAATTATGTAGCATTATGTAGTGTCAATCCACAGACCAGCTGATGCATGGGTACAGGATCTTAAGGATAAAAACCTTTAGAAAAATGCCAGAGGAGAATATTAGAGCCAAAAAGTTACTGGGAGAAAAAATAAAAAGGGGGAGACCACACTTCCTTTTGTGTAACATACATTATGTTATACAGAAAATGGGGGAAGGAGAGTAACAGATGACTCTTTAAGACCTAGGTTTCAGGTGCTGACAAGTTTGCAGGGGTTTTCAAGACTTGAGTGGACAAAGACCTGAGCAACTTGCCCTGAATTCAGTGTTGATCTTATTTTATATAAGAAGCTGGATTAAAGACCTCCTAAAGTCCCTTCCCCCACGAAGAATTTCTAAGATCCATCAAGGAGACAAAGGACACTAGAGAAAATCCAAATTAAGCAATTTGCTATTCAAACAGTCAATAAAAAGCACACTTGTACTGCAGTTATTGAAAGAAAAAGAATCAAACAGATATGCACCTGAATACTGACACACAAACGGAAGCTATATTTGAAAAATTCAAGACTTTATTTTAAACAAGGATGTTTTTTTCTTTTTACAAAATGTTCCAGACTGTACAATACATCAACATTTTTCTAAATTATGAGTTTAATTATGTAACCATTTCCACTTGTTCAAGTTTGAGGTAGAGATAGATACATTCCAAATCAGTTTTTTTAAAAAGACTTCAGCCCTTCCCACTATATTTCAAACACAAAAGCAATGCACAAGAACACAATGTCTGTTTTTCCATTATTAATTGCTCAGGTAAAGTGGAAATCATTTCATGGCCTGTAAAATTCCAGGAAGAAAGCATGACAAGATCAAAGTTGGTATCATGAAGGGACATCCTCTAAGGCAGCATTTCCAGAAGGAGATTCCTCTGCCCCAGAAGCAGGGCTGTCAGGCAGAGGAATAGAAGCATCTATTTCCAAGGTGTGCTGCTTCTCCAGATCACAGTTCATGTCAGAATTTCCTTCACCACTCACCTCTCCCTCTGACTCTTCAGTCAGTTTGTCTTGGGCCTGACCTGACTCCTCGGAATCATCCTTTTCACGCATAAAATTGCAAATCATTTTAGGCCTGCTGTAGGAAAAATCTCTGTCCTTGATCTGTAACCACTCCACTCCACCTGATGCAAAGAAGGAAAACTTGTATTAGTGACAAAAGGTGTTAATATCAATTTTTTCTTAGTTTAAGTTCAGTGTTATTAAGGCTGAGCCTGACCAACATCTAAGTAAAAGAACCATTTAGGACAAAAAGGTGTCTTTCAAGAATTTGAACCAACACTAATTTTTGTTGCAAGCCTTGCCACAGAGCTTAAACCACTCATTTTCCTTGTAAACAAGGCTACAAATAACGGAAAGCATTTAGTAAAGACCATCTTAAAATGAAGAGAAACTTGACTGTTGATAAATTAACAACACGTGCATAGGCTAAACCATCTCCTCCAAGACATATAGCTACAGGCTCTTATCTAGATACTGGGGGCATTGTGCAAGGTTTCTTATGCCACCAGCTCAATATCTAAAGAGCAGTCATGAGGGAGATAAAATTATTATGAAAGTAATGAAAAGCAGGAACATAAAACAAAACTACGCTATGTCCATATCATGAGTGCTGTGTTCTGCTCAACCCACACTGTAAAACTAGAAAAGGGAAACAAGAATTGGTGACGGTAAAGTTAGCTGTACAAGGAAAGGGACTTTTAAAAAGCCAAGTAACCAACAACTACAAAAATCACAAAAGAATTGCAACAAGAGCCAGAGACTAGAATTCTGCTCAGAGGAGGCAGATGTTTATAAGGCTGGACTGGGAAAACAAGTAGGGACTGACTTACCTCCTAATTCTGATAACAAAGTAAGTAACACTCACTCATTGAAAGCGCCAGATCATACATTTGTAACAACCACAAAAGCAAACAAACAATCAGGAACACTCACAGTAAAGCTGCACTTTTTCCAAACAGAAATGTGATTTGAAAACTGTCATAAAAATGGTAGAAGTCAAAAGTATAAACAGGTTCAAAAAGCAAGTGAAAATGACAGAGCATTTATGGACTAAAGACATAGTAGTCCAAATGAAAACTTTTGTCAAGGTACTGATGAACTGCTGAATACCAGAAGGATAGCAAAAAAAAATTTACTCATGTGTATGTCCCCTCCTCCTACTTTTTATACACCCATTTATACCAGCACAGGAAGAACACTGGCCTGTTGGGGTGAGTCTAGAGGCAGGCCACCAAGATGATTAGAGGGACAGAGCACCTCTCATACAAGGAAAGGCTGAGAGAATTGGGATTGTTCAGCCTGGAAAAGAGAAGGCTTCAAGTGACCTAACTGTTGTGGCCTTCCAGTATCTAAAAGGAGCCTACAATAAATAATGGAGAAGGACTATTTGCAAGAGCACGTAGTGATAAGACAAAGGTGAATGGCTTTAAACTGAAAGAGGGTGGGATTACACTAGATAGTAAGAAGAAATTCTTTACTGTGAGGGTAGTGAGGCACTGGAACATGCTGCCAAGTGAAGCTGTGGATGCCCCATCCCTGGAAATGTTCAAGGCCATGTTGGATGGGGTTCTGAGCAATTCGGTCTAGTGGAAAGAGTCTCTGCCCACGGCAGGAGGGTTAAAACTAGATGGTGCCTTTGAACTCAGGCACTCAGACATACTAGCATTCTATGATTCTATGATTTACTACTGCCCACAGTCAGAAATACAATATAGGAATAAAAACACATTTGTTCTGATCCAGTATGGCAGTTCCTGTTGTATTTAAGTGTCTGACACCACCCTTAGACTCTTAAAATAAATTAAACATAATTCAAAATGCTGAGAAAATATTTTACAAGTGCAATAAAGAGAATAGAATGTTTCTTCACCCAAATTTCAGAACATCTGGCTATATGATAGGGAATGACATTAGAATTAGTGCAAAAATTTGTGTCATTCCTTGAAACTCAACTGTATCAAGCTCTTGGAACAGACCTTAAATAGAACTGGGATTCCCCTCCCATTTCAATTTTTATGCAATACATGTCAATTCACAAGGCGTGGTAGTTACTCTGCATGCGCAACATTAAACTTCTGCTAGGGTGCAGAAACAAAAATGATTTTCAGCAGGTATCATCATTATTGCTGTTCCAGAACAAAAAAGGCCTTTTTATTAAGCAAAATATTCTCTAGTCTATTGTACTTTAAAAAATAATAGTTTGTTTAATACTTAAATATATGGAGAGAAGAAATGGTAAATGGAGTTGATAAGAATGCTGATGTTTGACTAGATTGTAGGTGACACGTCATTTTATACCTCCTATGACCAATGTCCAGCTGACTGCTTAGATTTAATGTAAAATGGCTACATATTCTTAAAATATGAAGGAGTAACACTGACTTCAGTGAAAAAAAAGCAATTAAAAGCAATAGGATACTGATAATGAATACTACTATATATAGTAAGATACTCAATATCTCAAGTATGTAAAAGTACTGATTTTTGTACAAAAAAGCATCACCAAAATCAAACAAACATACAAGCACTGAGTTCTGCCTACACAATGAAAATCAGTATGAATGGTCTTCTAGGTATGTCACAGCAAGTTAAATTAATTTCCATTTAACTGTAAATTCAGAAAGTACAACTCAGTTCTAGTACATATAACATGAAACTTCTTACTAAGGATATTATAAATTTTCAACAATCACAGAGACTCAAGAAGTAATTAGAAAAATTGATGGAAGTAGGAAAAAACAAAATCAACAAAGAACTACTAAACAACATCTCCAATTTCAAAACTATTAGATGACAGAAAAACATACCAGGGTACATCAACATGTGTTTGCTGTGTTCCTAAACTCTTTTGTACGAGTCTCCTACTAGCCATTTCTGGAGGCAGCACTGGTCAGAAAGGAGTATCTCTCTTCTCTTTCCATGTGTGTTTTGCACTTTTGCATTTAAATAAACGTATTTGCTGCCTGAAGAAGAAAGTTCCTTTAACTTTCTACATGCTCTCAAATCAAACACTTAATAAAGGCTGACTGACATTCACAAGCATAAGCCATCCAATGTCTGTATGCATAAAGGCACTAACCAACATTCTCTTCTCCTTCCTTCTTTTCTGTCAGAAGGGTCCGTGTCATGTTCAACTTCTTCACTGTGTGACACTTGTATTTCAGCTGCACTTTTTGGTTGCCTTCCACATCTACTAAAAAGAGAGGAGAAAAAATAATATGCAGACCCCAGTCATTATAGTGAATTCCACTACCAACTGAAACAAGTATTTTTAACCTCCCCAGCTACCACAGTGAACAGGACATCAAATCACAACAATTACCGTGCTCCGCATTTTCTTCAAAAACCACACAGGTTCCCAAGGTATCTATGGAAATCAAAGTGAGAAAGTCTTAGAGACCAACTTATATCAGCTACATATACTGCACCCACTGGCCAAACCCTGGGAATGTTCTGATTTCCAGCCCCTCACAAAGGCACTAGTAAGCACACTGCCAGCTCAGGAACAGACAGGAGTATCACAGGAGGCTCCCAGACCATTTCTTCCAGGCCACTGTTGTCACCGTAAGGCAAACGAGAGAACTACAGATTGTACAACATGTCAGTCCTGCTTTCACAGGAGACAACAGGCACTTACTTTAAGGCATTTTATGTCCCACATGTCTGTCTCCTGACACACTAGCTGGTGCACCCCAGAGTCAACTTCCAGGCCTACTTCCCAGGAAGTACCACAAGATGCACGGTTAATTTAGCAGTGAACTCAGACTGCTGCTGCTCTATATGGTGTTATATGACCACCCAGAACTTCAGCACCTCATAGGACCAACTGCTGGATAATTAATTAAAGTTAAGAAAGTTCTTTGGGTCACACGAAAAGGAGAGATTGTATTCATTGTAATTTTTCCTACCTTCATACTCCCCTGCAAATACATATCCGTCCACTTGTAAAATGGGCCTCTCTGTCTCTATTCCCTACAAAAAGAGGGACAAAATTGCACAGATGTCAAGTCTCTATTAGCCCAGGTAAATTTCTCGCTGTACAACCAGAGAAGACAGACTTAGCAGAATCCAGATTACATCAATTCCTTGAAAAGACAGTTGGACGAAAACTCCAAACCATAAGGTAAAAAGAGCAAAATAAAGTTTCTTGTGTTATTAAAGGAATAGATTCCAGTCTATAAAGCTTTCTTAAACTACCAGGTTCATATGAAGAGAAGTACATCTTTAAAGGAGGATTTATGGAAGTGAACAAGAGATTTCTGCAGAGGATATGATCTTATAGAAGCTAGCAGATTCCTGAAAGAGTGGCAAAACATGCAATTAAATTCATATTTATTACTTTTCAAAAAAATGTAATAAAAGTAGTCATTACAATTGACCCTGAGGTCCTCTGCGACATTAAACATCTGGGATGGGGGGAGAAGGAGCTTTCTTTGTTTTTGTAGGAGGCTTAGTTAAGCAGTGATAACAACTGCTACAAAGGGTTCAGTCAATCTTGCTGTAGAATCAGTGCACTGTTAATAAAATGTAATGGCGTTTTTTCAGACTATCATCATACATTTCACTTCAAGTTTATTAAATACAAAAATATACCAGATAATACCCTTCTAGTAATTGTAACAGAACCTAGTATAGAACTGTCGTAGGAAATGCTCTAGTATGTTAAAATAAATTTAGATCAAACTGCAGCTAGTGGTCTGTTTAAGCTACAGTAAAAGTACCGTTTATTTCCTCTAGGAAATTAATGTAACCTCCATTTCAAATTAACAAAAATGCATGTGTTTGCATGAAAAAGATGTTATTTTCTAAGCTCCAATTAATGCAAGTTCTAGAAACTTTCAAAAGCCTTTGGAAAATACACAAGGTGAAGAAGTCCATCATAAACCATTGCATCAGCACCAGAAGTGCAATTGCAGGGTCACAGAAGCTTCTGTGATTCCTATGTGTCTACATTGTGAAAGAGTTGGAAAGTGTTATTATTGCATTTTTTTAAACAAGGAGTGGGAGTGTAAGGCAGTACTTCCATCAGCTCATTCCCTCCCTCTACAGCAGGTTTTCCAAATACACAAGCAAGGATCCCATTATATATCTCTTTTATATATATATAATAATATAATGTATTACCTCTTAATATGATTTATACCTACAGATTATAGTTTGATAACAATCAACGTCTGAACAGAATACACTGATTAAGGCAAAATGGCTTTGAATAGTACCTTGTGAACATCAGAATTATTCAGGGCATGAAGATAAGCACATGCTAAAAGTTTTGAAGATGAGGCACTATGTGGTAAATTGTGTAAAATACAGAATATCACACAGGATAATTATAAGAGAATCTCAAAGTATAACGTTAAAAAGAATCCCATTAACACTACTGAAGCACTTGTAGCCATTCAGCCACCAATAATGAATCACGTGTGTAATACATTTCAAGAGAATTAGGTCAGATCCAGGAAGTAAATCTGCTTATAAAAGTATATCCATCCAAAGATAGATAATTTATGAATTTTGATTGTGTTTCTACATTTGAGACATTCAGAACTGACTTTTTACCATCCCACATATATTCTGATCAGTGGCACACTCAGATGTTCTCTTCCATCTTTTCAGTCTATAACAAAGGTCTACTTTCAGAAAGTATTTGCAAATCAATATTACTCCTACTATCTATACTGCTCTTATAGTCCACATAGGTTTTGAAGGGCAAATAGCATCTGTCCCATACAGAGAAAGTGATTAAACAACTCGAAAGGAAAAGGACAGGTAAACCAGATTCCTACAATAACCTCACAATGAAACAAACAACATCTAAAACTGTTTACCAAATGCTTAATAACCAGTTATCATTTACAAAACTTGAACTTGCCAGGCCGTCTCTGCAAAAAACCCCATTGTAAATATAGTGCAAATCAGAAAGATTTTGACTTTACCTGTCAGATGTATTCAAGTTATTTGAAGAAGAGTGCCTAACAATATGTATTTTTAAAAGAAAAAGACATTTTTAATGTGAAATACATAAGTTTTAAAAATAACTTAGAGCTTGAAATCGGAGTGGATACTGGTGCTAACTTACATATACTTATGAAAAAGTTTCCTTATATTTACACAATACTGTATTCACAGACCTTATGCTGTTTCTGAAATAGAGCCCACAACACGCAGCCAAGTACAGCGCACATAATTCTCTATCAAAGATTTGCTCTGAATGTTACCAAGAAGTTTAGAAGCAGCTTCAGTCCCTTGTTCACAGCTGTAATGACTTACCCCTTTCCTATTGTGCTGTAATCACTCACCAAAATCTTGCATTTGTTTTCACATTTTTCTAAGAAGTTTGAATCAATAATTCCCGATAGTTCCACCATGACCAGCTGCTCCTACAAGATAAGTTTATAATGTACACCTGTAAGAGATATCTGAATTCAGGAAAAAAAAGAAGAAAGCCCCCTCAAAAAACAACCCAAACCAGACTACCTTTGAAATAAAGAAACTCCAAAGGAGAGTTATTCTACAGTTTGTCAAGAGACAGCCAGCTCTTGTAATACCCAGGGAAATGTAGTGATCCATCAGACACCTGTTTCACACATGAATTTCCTGGCCTTTTCTTCCTAGGTAGGAATGAAGCTCTTTTCTCCACCCTTGAAAAATGAGCATCAATATAGTAAATGATTTATGAATTATAACAATACGACCAGTTGCATATTCCAAAGTAATTTTTTTTCCCAAAGCCTTAGTGCATACCTAAATATGATACCACAGGGAAGGTTACGCAATGTGTTCACTGAAATAGTTACTTTTAATAACATATTGTTCTGAAATTAATTCCTCTATGCGATTCCTTACAATTTTGAGTAACAAAAATGCAAAAACAAAGCAAAAAAAAGGTGGCCTTGAAAAATATTTTATTCAAGAAAAACAAAAGCTTTTAAGAGTCACCATCAACCACACATGTGTAAATATACATAATAACAGAAGAGTAAGTTTGTAATTTAAGATTTTCTTGGAGTGAGTCCAGAAGAAGGCCACCAAGATGATTAGAGGGCTGGAACACCTATCCTACAAGGAAAGGCTGAGTTGGGATTGTTCTGCATGGGGAAGAGAAGGCTCTAGGGACACCTTACAGCAACTTCCAGTACCTGAAGAGAACTACAAGCTGGAGAGGGACTTTTTACGAGGGCATGTAATGATAGGACAAGGGAGAGTGGCTTTAAACTGGAAGAGGTTTGGTTTAGATCAGATATTAGGAAGAAATTCTTTACTGTGAGGGTGGTGAGGCACTGGACATGCTGCCCAGTGCAGTTGTGGATGCCCCATCGTTCAAAGCCAGACTGGATGGGGTTTCTGAGCAATCTGGTCTAGTGGGTGGCATCCCTGCACGTCAGGGGGGGTGGAACTAGATGATCTGTAAGGTCCCTTCCAACCCAACCCATTCTATAATTTTCTTAGGTCAGGAAGCAAGTGAAACTGGAAGAGTCTCTTTCTAACAGCGCCCTTTTCCAGAAAACTGCAGCAGAACCGCCAGAACCACGTAGCTCTGGAGACGGGACCGCTGCAGGGGCAGAAAAAACCGCCGGACCCAGGGAAAAGCGCTTGCTCTGTGCCCAGCCCCGCCGCCGAGCCTGGGCACAGCCACACCGGGCCCTATTCCTGGCTCCCCTGCCGGGCGGGCAGAGAGGGGCCGAGCCGCGCCGTGACCACGGGCAGGGCACGCCCCGCGGGAGGCCGGCCCCTTCCCCTAAGGCTGGGGGTATGTCGGCGTGCACCAACCTCCACCTCGTCTTCCTCCGCTTCATCGCTCCTCTCGCCCTCGCTCGCCGCGCCCCCCACCGCCGCTGCCGCCGCCGCCGCCATGTCACCACCGCCCGGCCCCGCCCGCGCCTCAGCGCGCACCACGTGGGGCCTGCGCCGCCATCTTAGAGCGGGAGCGGCCCCGCCCCGCCCCGCCGCCACAGCGCCCCGCCCGCCCTCAGTGGGGCTCGGCTCGGACCCCGCTTTCCTGAACAGTTAAATATTTTTTTGAGAAAGGGCTGTCAGATGCATCTTTTTCTTGACACAAGTAACGGACTGCTCCCAGTACAGACCACTGGTTCAGAAAGGTCTTATCAAATAATTAAATAATAAAGTGTACAGTTCGTTTCGGCGGGTTATGTCCTCTGCCTGATGCTTTCTGGTTTTCCTGGCAGGGTTCGATACACCCCTGCCTGATTTCCATCTGACCTGGGTTTCTGAGATATCTTCTTGACTTATGTACTTGTAAGTACACAAAAATCAGATTTGTTACCTGGTGTGCAATAAACCAGTAAATTACACACTCGACTGAGACACTGATTATTGATTTCAGATTTGCACATGCCTGTGTGCTCGGTGATATTCCACAAATCAAGTACATCACGCTAGCAAAACTTTCTGCCGTTCAAACACTTGAGCAAACAAAGGAATTAGTGTTCATTGGCTGCAAGTTACATAGTACTCTTATTAATTAGTATTCTGTCTTGTTGGTTAATAATTCTCCCATTTCTCATGCTAATTAGTCCCATGCTCAGGCTTTCTCTTCTGAGTCAGTGGGTTTCTTGGGTCAGTGGCCTGTGAGTCGATCCTCATGATCTTCTTCTGCTGGAATTACTTTTCACCAAGTCGGAGCTGCTTTCAGTACAGTTGCTGAGTTGGCTTTATTAGTTTCTTCCTTGAGGATTCTGTCAAATGTCCCTGTGGCCCATAAATTCTGTAATCTCTGTGTCCACTGTCAGTGGTGCATCCTTCTTCCCAAGCTTTGGTAACTTCCCCTAGGTCTGAGGTCATTGAAGCATGTAAAGCCCTAAATCTTAACAAGGTAATTTTACCAACAAGTAATTTGTTTTTCTAACACGTGAACATCACTTAGAGCTTGTTAGCTGCTCTCTGTTTCGTGGATTAAATCTTGTTTCTTGATGGTTAGGCATGAAACTATACAAAGATCAAACATTAAAGAACATCCTTCCTTAAGAAAATTTTATATATTCCAACAATTTTGCACTCCACAGTCCTCAGTCTCATACTGGTTTTGTAATGTAATTCTTCCCTATTTTCCTTCCTTATGCTATGCTTTCTGATTTTATACCAAAAGTGCCTTACTATTCATTGGGTCAAAGTCATCTATTAAAATGTTAAATAAAACTGATCACAAGGGAGTTCACTGTAAATTTTCCTCTGGCCTCTACTTATCATCCATAAGATAAACATAAATGTCAGCATAGCATCATATCAAGTGTTTAACTGTGTCCAAGTAGGTGTGGTTTAATGCATTTCTCCTTTTCCTAGAAAAATCATTGATCTTATATCAAATAAGTTTAGTAGGATTGTTCTTTGGGAAGCCAGCATTAGGCTTCATCTAATTTTCTCTTAAGCTTCACATTTTTAATTATTTTTTTCTCAGAGCTTGCTTTAGAATATTACATCAAGTGGTAAAAACAGCCTATCGATTTGGATTAGTTCTAAATACAGAAAAAGAAGATGCTGGGGTATGTTACCTCTTTACCTGGCAAATTGCAAAACCTTGAATTTTGACTGCAGGGGATAATAGCTGTGGAACAGATGTTTGATATACTACTGATCTTCATTATCAGATATTTTAATATAGTGTTTTGTATCATTTGCTTAGTATGGGCTGCTCTATTTGGAAATTGTAGAAGATAACAAAAATAATTTTTTTAGTATCTTATTTCATATTCTGCCACTAGAAGGACACAGATAAACAAAATTATGAATAGCTTGTTCAGCATTTCTGACAGAGGTTTTTAATGTGCTTCTAACTTTTAAAGCTGCATTTAAATCTTGGTAACTTCAGCTAATTGATCTCATGCTGTACAATATGAGTACATGTGTGTAAACTCAACCTTTCAATAATTCTTAACTATTGTTTTCTATTTGTTAATCATTATTCTTGGCAGTTACATTTTTGCACCAGGTCTTTCTGTTTGGATAAAATTTTTGTTATTTTAAAAAAAAGTTCTAAATCAATAAAGCAGAATAAAGTTTCCATTCTTCTGAATGCATTCCTTTAATTAATTGTCATAACTGACAGTGCTTCTGTAATGTTACATTTAATGCCATTATTCTCTTTTTATAGCTGGGAGGAGGTTAAGTTTCATAGTTAAAACTAGAGAAAGCCCTTATAGGAACATAAACCTGTGCCAGATCAGCCTGTGTAAATCATAGACTGGCATGAACTGCTGTGAAGGAGGCAGTATATTTGTCTGCTTTTATATCAGCCTAAGTGTCATGTAGTATCCGGGGTCATCTCAGTCTCCTAGTTATCATGGTTTGGGATATGCAGTTGGATGATGGGAATTTTTGGCGCATTAGTGCCAAATGTATTTTAAAAGAGAATACCTCATTGTCAGGCTAAATTTGCTGTGGGCATCAGTGGTTTATCATGGTCTTTCATATCACGACAGGAGTATTTCAACAATTTATCTCTTAAAAGAGACTGTCCTCAGAGTCTGCCAGTGAGATGAACTGCTTGATGAGATAAATATGGAAATACATGTGTTGAGGATCCAGATTTTGGGTTTCTGAGGCCTGAGGTTTCTGAGCTAACAATCCTGTCAGTGCACGTGCAGATTTATGCGCACATGCTTGAGGCCAGTAACTTGGCGGCACTTAAGTAATTTTAAGTCAGCAACAACTAAATGGTCAATTTAAAATACATGATTATGTTTGAGATCTACATACTGATGCCCTAGTTTCAGTGGGTTCACTTGCAATTTAAGCACATTAATACATGTACTTTATTTTGGGCCCTGTAGTTTGCAAATGTTAGCTGTGGAAGTTCATAGATTGGAGGCTTGGACTATCTATTTTAGCAAATAAACACTGTTGCAGTTAAGCTACACTACAGGAAATCAGAGAAAGTTCACCGAAACACATAATAAATTCTGCCTTTCTACTTTGTCTAATTTTTTCATTTTCTTTTGATTTTTGTCGTCAAGATTGTAATTCCTTCTCAATCCTTTTTCAGAAGGGAAGCGGCCTTTCTCCATTCCCTCCTGAACACTTACTTTCTTTGTGAGGCCATGGCACTAGCCTATCTACGTAAAAGGCTAAATGATTTGTAAAAACACAGGATAAGGGTCTTTGGTTTAAGTTCTTGTGGGGTTTTTTCTGTCTATTGAGATTGTGAGTGCCTCTAATTGAAAACCTTTTGTACTATGCAGTGAAAACCCACAAAATTTAGCATTTAAAAATGGTAATAGATCATATGTGTGCGTCCGTATACACACTGTATATGTTTAGCCTTTGTACCTGTACTGTTTGCTGAGTTGGCAGCCTCAGGAGAAGGGTGTTGTAGTTCCCTGACTGGGAGTTGGAAGTGTAACTAAAAGTGATGATATGGCAAAAGGTGGCCTATGGATATCAGAAGAGACCCTCAGTAAAATGTTAACATGTGGCTAAATGCAACACTATAGGGTGTAGAGATGCAGAAAAAAAGCTTATTAAGAGACTAACGTGTATTCCTGGCTCTAGGCAGGTTTACAAAAGGTAAATTAGCCCCAGGATAAAGGTAATTTGCCCATAGTATTACAGAGGATGATTTCAATTTCCCCTGCAGCTACATTGCTGAGCCTCTTCAGTTAGGAATTTGCAAGCCAAACCATCTCATAGGTGTTGCCAAAAAAAAAAAAAAGGCCTGTTTGTTTCCTTTGCATATGTGCCGTTGTCTTTTCCATAACTCCTTAAACATTATGTAAGGAAATCCTTACCCTACTCAGAGAAGAGTAGGATAGAGTAAGAGGTGTGTTATTTACAGAGAGCTTGTTCTGTTTACTGTGTCTAGTCTAAGAGGATGGAGTGAGATACAGTACAGCAGGAGGGAGGGGGCACTGGGCTCACAATTTCCCTAGTCTTTCTTTTGTCACTTACATACTTACAGAAGCACTTCTGGTTGCCTTTGACATCCCTCATCGGCTTCAGTTCTAGCTGGGCTTTAACTTTCCTGACCTGCATGCTTGGACAGTGTCTCTGTATTCCTCACAGGTTATCTGTCCTTGATGCCACTTTTACTATGCTTCCTTTTTGTGTTTGAGTTTGGCTAGGAGCTCCTTGTTCATCCACAGAGGTTTTGATTTCCTACTCATTGGGATGGACAGCTGTTGAGCTTGGAGGAGGTGATCCTTGAATATTAACCAGGTTTCTTGGGCTCCCTTTTCCTTCAAGGTCCTTATCCCATAGGACTCCATCTACAGTCCTTGAAGAGACCCATCTTTGTCTTGTCTTCCACAGAGAAAAAGAGCTTAGCTGTTAAAAGTAATGAATGCTGCCTGCTGCACACAGCAGGCTCAGAGCTTCAACTGCTTCTTTCTTCCAGTAAGGAGTTGTCTCCTGCCAGTCTTATGTCCTGGAACATATGAGGGCAAGAGCAGTTGGAAACATCCTGAGGAAACTTGATGCTATATCCACATGTGGAAGAAATGCATCTTCATGTCTATGAGTGATGGGGCAGGAAGAGAGTGAAAAAGCTGAGAACTGCTGCACTGTTCGGCATGGAGTCCTAAGACTGGGATCCCTCCCAGTAAAACTTAGCAGATGACAGGCTTGTGAAGCAGGTGGTAACAGGGAGTAAATTATGCTACTTGTTATCCAGCTGGAGCCCCGATTTCACAAGTAGCTTTTATGTCTAGTGTCCTTGAAGCTACTTGACTTCCCCAATATTTGTCTTTAAGCCCTTCCTTATTACAGCTAATACAATATGGTACACAGCTAGAGATGGTTAC